AACTAAGTTAGTATAGAACGAGAACATTAACCCCACCCCCGCCTCCACCAAATCCTCCACCCACTCTCGACCCCTCAGCTCCCCAATTCTTGATTTTGTCTCTATGAAAGTCATGATTTCATGTAATAATAACATTTCCCGCATTCAACCAGCATTTTGAGCAAAAATTTAACAGTTTTAAAACAGATTTTTAATAGCGGTGTTCTGGTCCTTCTATATGGCTTAGGTGGCCTTTGCGTGCATTGATTTGATTTCTGGAACCGGGATGTCGATTTCCTCGCCTATAGACCTGGGTAGGAGTGAGGAACAAATTTCAGTGTAGACAAATTTAGTGTTTTATTATTTATTTATTAAAATATCTTTATATACGGTATATAGCTAATCAACAAAAATATTTACAAGGTTTTTGTTGCTTTTCATTAGGCCGTGTAGTTACAAACAGTATAAGAAACTCCAATCCACCCTTCCCAGATAATATCAGTAAGATATTCACATTCCAACCCATTCAAATAAGATAAATGGCAATTGAAGAGTTTTTATTTCTTTCCCTCCAAACTTTAGCAGCAGCATAACCGAAAGTACGTTTCACTGAATTTGTTTTTGGCTTCGATAACATCAGCTTACTAATTATTACTATACTTCTTAATGAAAACACTTTCAATGAAAGTGCTAGCATCAATGTTTTAACGGACACACTACCAACATTCACAGCATCCATCGTTTCTAAATCGCCTTGCCAACATCTTTAATGACAAACGAAAACCTTTGCTTCTGTAATAATAAACAACAGGATCTACAACGGCGTTTACAAGAGTTAATGAACCAGTGAAACTAAAAGTACGATAAAACTGAATTGGATCTTCGAATCTGTTTAAAAAGAAAGCTGCTGTTGTCACTGGCAACCAGCATGCTGCAAAACTTCCAGCGATCATAAACAACGAAGTTAATGCTCTGAACTCATGAGAAGTCGCATGTGTTTGACCCGTAATTGCATGCATCTGTTGCTCTAATCTTTTACTATGTTTCCTTCCTAAATTGTACATATACACATACATTGCAATAGATGATGTTATGTAAAATGCCATGACGTATCGTAAAATTCGAAGAACTTTATTTTCGATAATCAAGCCAACCACGACCACGACAAGAATAAGGATGGCGACCAACCATATAACTCCGATCATAGTTACAGTTCGTTTGAATGTCATTATTCTTGGATATTTCAAAGGTCTAACTATGGAGACAAAGCGGTTCAAAGTCAAAAGAAAAATACTTCCAGTGGTCGCTGCAACAACAAGATTTGTCATTGTTGTAAAGATGCTGAAAACAGGGTGATAGATATTGTAAATGAAAAGCGGAGTTATCACTGCGCATAACAGCAAATCCGCACAAGCGAGACTCAAGACGAAGAGATTCGCAGGCGCGTCGGCAAATCCGTCAGTCAGAGATATTGAAAGAATCAAGACGAGATTCTGTAGAAATCCAGCGAACCCAAAGAATACGAGAAAAACAATAAGACCTGCAGTTTCTCCTTCGCTTAAGTATACGCTTAATGTGGAAGTCATTTCATGCGATTCGAGAGGTTCGCCGAAATTTGAAATGGAGTTTGTAAAGTTCATTTTGGTATTTCTTTTCTTTGACTTCCTCTGATTAATAACGTATACTTTCGAGTGCTTTGATTCTAAGCGATAGATCTTTTGAACTGTTGTTGACAAGTTGAATCCACGAAAAGTTTAACAAAAAGCGAGCTTTTAGTTACTAAACCCTCTGCCACGCCAGAGCGATGATCAAGCAAATTACTACAAGAGAAATATCATTATAAGCAGAACAGGTGAAAATATAAAGAAAGGCCGCCTTATTGGATGATCGGTTGTGGAAAGTGTATATGACCTTCTATGCAAAGCATCTGTTGAAATCACACGGATTTTTAACAAACTGAATACAACTTTAACTGGTCCCCGAGCCGACGGCGCGAAGCGCCGTGCGAGGGTACTAATCCCCCCCGGCTATTTACACCCGGGGAAACGAAAGCATTAGCGAAGTCTGAAGTTCACTAATGATTAGACGGCCAGCCAGCCGATCAAAATATGACTGTCGATGGCATTTTTTGTTACAAGCAAACAACAAGCGTTTTCTTATAGCTTAGACACTGGTGAGTCACGTTTGATATGTTGCCACCTCTGATTTTAACGAACGAAGAGAAAATTTTAAGGATTTGAAAAGTTTGCCTATTAAATTATTATACTCCCGAAAAAATGTGAAATTTGAATTTCACTTAAATTAGCATCGTTTATATCGTTAGAAAGAGCATAACAAAGTACATATAAGACATTTAAACGAGTAATACGATTTATTTAGTCAAATTTGAGTTATGGACACTTAAAAAGAGGTAAAATGCGGTGAATGACGTCACAAAACCTGTTTTTTAGCAATTTTAAGCGCCCGTAACTGAAAACAGGGTTATAATTCACACTTCTCACTTAAATGTTCTATATCTACTTTTTTCCGAACTTTCTGATTATATAGGTGATTTTTGCTGAAAGTTGGTTTCAAATTTCATAATTTATAGTGAGTATAGTAATTTTAATAGACAAAATTTTCAGATTCTCAAAATTTGTCAATATCAGAGGTGGCAACCTATCAAACGTTGTTCTCCAGTGCCTAAGCTATACGAAAACGCCAGTTGCCAGCTTGTAACAAAAAATGCCATCAATGACATTTTAGAGACACTTTTATTGAGGTTGGCTGGCCGTCTAGATCGCGGGCGTGGTCATCCGCACTGATCTAAAAAATATGGCGGACTGTCATGAATAGCGAACACTGTGATTGGTCCAATTTAAGGTTTGCATTATAACGACTGCATGACGACAGCGAAATGGCAAACATTTCTTGATTTGATGATTGATAAATTTCTTGCAAATATATTGCATTTTTGCTCGCATTTTTGCAAGATTTTGTAAATTTCAAGGGCGAAAGAATCGGCTAAAAGAAGGGAGCCGACGTTAACGAAGGTAAGTTTGTTTTAAATATTGATTTTATAATTGCTTTAAAACCCGACGGCCTTTGGCTTTGCATATATGAAACAACTAAACAAGACAGCATATAATTTCAGTGTATCTTTAATATTGATTCCCTTTTTTATTATATCGAATTTTTTGAATAAAAAAGAAAGCAAAGTTTTTGCACTCGAGAATTTGAAATCATTTTATTGCAAACTCATTAAAGTTTATCGATAAAGCCATTTAATTAAAGGCAGTTTAGTTTTAGTATATAAAGAACACTTGCAAAGCGTTTGTGGTTGAATTTTAGCTTAAATCGAAGCTTATTACGTATAATATCATACCTAACATTGATATGTTGGGAAATTGATAATTTTGCAATTAAAACTGATATTTTTAGGTGATTTTTCATTGGTAAGAATATTCTTAAAAATTATCGTGTTACCATGACAACTACTTTAGATACTTCATGTTCGGAAAATACAATAGTTTTGTCAGCAAAGCGAGGGTTTATGCATGCATGTATTTTCTAGAGCTTTTAGCTACTAAACCCACTGCCACGCCAGAGGACGTTGTAGGTAGATATATGCAGTTTATTAACTTTATTAGGTAGGAAATGTTCAAGCAAATTATTACTCGCTGGGGGCACTGTGCCCAGGCAAGTATAGGTTTCGGCACGCAAGGTGGATATCAGATGTCGGTTTCCGATCGTCGTCGGATAGCCACAAAATAGAATATTCAGCAGTAATGTCACAAAACTTCAAATAAGAAAAACATGCAAACAAACTCGAATCCGACATTGAACCGGCATCGTGTGAACGCAACACCAAAACGTGATTATACTCTGCCGGTATCGTGTGAATAGTTGGTGATTTTGTACCGAAAGAATTCCATACTGGTATCGTGTGAACGGAGTCTAAATCGCGCAGTTTTATAGCGTTATTTTATTACTGTTAAATTCAGTGTTCGTACTGAGTATATATTCGAATCAGGAGTCGTGTTTGACCTTGTGTTTTTCGCCGGTAGTGTGTTTTTTCACTAAAAAAGTCGGATTTTTGCGCGGTCCATGCAAACCTGGGAAAACCTGTTTAGAAGAGGGCAATACGGCTGTTTACCATGTAATCCGCTCTCAGATTTTTTGTGTTCACATCAATCTCATGACCTTATTTGGTACAATCACGTCATTGTCGGCACATAATAAAACTTAATAATAACTGAATCATCTAAAACGTCATCCAATAACTGTTTATCTAACCTCCAGCAATATAACCAGAGCAGATTTATGACTCAAATTTGATTTGAAAAACCAATTAAGATAGTTAATTATTTGAACACTTAGTCTACCGAGATAGTTAATAATAGACCTTATGCATAATGACGTCACAAGGCTTGATGCCCGCGAGGAATGCTGGTCTTGGTAGTCATCGCCCGGGAAAATTTCGATAGTGGCCATTTTGAATTGTTTAATTTTCCCGGGCGATGACTACTAAGACCAGCATTCCTCGCGGGCATCAAGGCTTGTGACGTCATTATGCATAAGGTCTATTAGCCTTTCTCACGCCGCCATTTTTGGTGGCAACCTTTTTAGAACAGGGATTTACTACTGTAAGCAGTAAAATAAAACTTTCTATGACTATATTTGTATGTAAGTTTAATCATTATAAATCAATTTACAGTTAAATATTTGGACAATTGTTTTCACATCGCTTAGATTTTTCACGTTGTTTATACTGAAATAGTACTAAAAAATGGCGGATTTAGATCTTCTTGGGAAAGAAGATCTAAATGATATATATATATATATATATATATATATATATATATATATATATATATATATATATATATATATATATATATATATATATATATATATATTGCGGTCAAAAGCCATTTTAGGGGTCAAAAAATTTTTCCGGACAACCTAAATTTTCGGAACATAAAAACAAATTTTCCAAAAACACAAATTGCCCACCAAATTTTACTTCTTAATTTTAGACAAAATTTTACACAATTTGTTCCATTTTTTTATTATTGCAAACCAAAATTGCCCGACTGTTTATCGAATATTGTCCGACTGCCTAACAATAGCTACTGCCCCGGCCCGCCCGGTACGCCTATGGATGCAGAAATTGAAAATGCTCTTAACATATGGTGCATTTTCAGTGTCAATATTCACTAATCTGAATTGTTTGGAAATATATCATGCGGCATATGAAATTAGCTCTCAGGTTGATAGGATTTTGGTATAGACTTCGTCATTCGGCAATAGACTTTGTCATTCGGCAACAGACTTTCTCATTCGGCAACATGATTTTTCGCAAGCATCTCAGCAGTCTTTGCCAGTTAGTTCAAATTGTAAACACATGTGACGTACACGTGCACAGAAACACCAAGATGGCGGAGAGACAAGGTGAAAAAACACAGCGGCAGGATACTAAAAATATTCTTCAACTATATATAGCGCGCGCTGGCTGTCAAAAATAGCATGTTTTCTCCGCTTCAATTCTAAAGGATTTTTTAAAACTTTCATATATTGTATAAATTTATCTCCTCTTTTCATTGGTTATTGAGCCTTGGGTACCCTGGCCCAGAGGTTTTTTTTAGGTTTGGCGAACGTGAAATGCGAAAATAAATACCCTCTGGTTCCAGGGTAAACCTTGGGTGGCTTACGCCTGCAAACAATCGAAATTCGGCCATGCAGAAACTGTATGGTATTAGCGGCTGAAAGAGAATATACTATATATATACATATATATATATATATATATGTTATATATATGGCATGGTTTTGATGTCCCACAATCGTGAGGCATCAAAGGTAACTATAAATAAGAGTTACTTTCATCCTGCTCATCAGCACTACACTGATGAGGCCCATTAGGCCGAAACGGTACCGTCTGTAGTTATATATATATATATATATATATATATATATATATATATATATATATATATATATATATATATATATATATATATATATATATATATATATATATATATATATATATATATTTATAATATTGTCATTCACCGTATATGAGCTGTTCTGCAATCTGATTGGTTGAATTACTCGCCGTATATCAGCTCATATACGGCGAGTAGCGAAAAACAAGATGGCGGTCCAAAAACTACACGTGTTTTGCAAAGCAGAAAAAAGGAAAATATTCGCTTTGAGAAAGATTATAGTACAAGGAGAAACTCTCAAAAAATTGGACAGGTTAGCAAAATACATTTATTACATAGAAATTAGTTTAAATACAAGTTTTTGTTAAAGAATTAATACCGAAACAACAGCGAAAAAT